CAAGTCTGGTGGGGAAGCCGGAAGAGCAATGCTAAAGTTGGGTGCAGAGTTTTAGGTAATCGTGGTCTTCCACTGGAGCAAGTGGTCGGACTTCGTAGATTACGCTGGTTGGGACATGTGCTCCTCATGTCACCAAATAGGTTGCCACGGCGAACGATGTTTGCCGAGGCAGATATCGGATGGAAAGAGGTCAAGGGCGGTCAAACTAAGATCTGGCATGAGGGCATGAAAACCTTAATCAGGAGACTGTCACATAGGTCCCTGGCTGGGGACCCCGAGATAATGGCGATATGGCTGTATGTCGCAAACAGAGGCACTCATGCATCTACTCATTATTCCTTCAACCTCAGTGTGTATGAATTCTTTATTTTCCACTTGAATTTTCTCTCAACATTCATTCTACTCTTTTATCCGAATGGGTGACCAAAAAACTGGAACCCAAACTGGCTCTCACATGGTTAATTATTGTAAAAACTGAAACTGATGTACACAAATGATTTTCATCGCTATTATGATCTCATTCAGTACAGGGTTCCAGGTCGAAGGCGCTATCTAACCGTGAGACGTGAGACTTACTGGTATGCTTTGACTAAACGGCTTTGGATAGCAAAATTTTCAGTGCTATCATAGTACGCACTATTTGTGAAACGTTTTTCGCAATTCAGTGTATGGCAAACATTTGTCTTCTTTCTGTGAACGCCTGCTTTTACGTGCCTACAGCTTTCAGAGGCCTGGATTGATCAAATCCTTAACCAATCAGGTGTTATTCCTGCATCAGCGCCCAAGTCATCTCACAGTGTTTCGCGCAGTACACAGAACGTATCTGCCAACGAAACAGCAAAACCGCCGGATCAGTGGGACTGGGAATTACTCGCGTCTTTCGGTCGCTTTCTTTCCGAGTCGCGGTCGATGATTTCTTGGGAACGTAAACCGCGTCTACGGTAAGATACTCGTCATTTTTTAGTCCTCATCCAAATACCTGTATAATTTTGCTCAGTAATGATTCCCAACTGGGTTTTGTGAATATCGCGAGTGCTTATTTGCTGTGTGGCAATCCATTCTCCAAGTCCACTTTCACACTGATTTTCGACTCAGTTCATCATTTGCTTAAATGAGTCCCACTCCAAACTAACTCCGCTGGAGAAATTCATAACACAGATCATCTTTTTTTTTTACTGTCGTTTCTTTCACTATATTTACACATTCTAACCGTCTTCGTCGATCAGTTTTCAGCTCAGCCCCAGTTTCATTTTGTATAACCAATAACCGGTTGAGATAAAACTACCCAAATAACATTCCTTGTCCTTACANGTTGTTGCAAGACTGGCAGGAACCCATCCCTGCACTTTCATTGGATACTGACACTCTGGAAGTAGTCGAAAGCTTTGTCTACCTTGGGAGTTGCATAACAGCTGGTGGGGGTGTGGGCGAGATCTCCCAACGCGTGATCAAAGCTAGATGAGCGTTCGCTAATCTGCGGCATCTCTGGCGCCGGCGCGATGTATCCCTTTCACTGAAAGGACGTGTGTATTGCGCAACGGTACGCACCGTG